ATGCCCCCCTGTCTGTTACCCCCACCCCCTCCACTTCCCCACAGCCTATTATCCCCACCCCACCCCATGTAATGCCCGCCCCGCCCACTCCCCACTGTTGGGGGGCAGCAGGGAAAGGCTCTGGCGGGGGGCAGCAGGGAAAGGCTCTGGCAGGTGTGGGGGGGGCAGCGGGGAAAGGCTCTGGCAGGTGTGGCGGGGGGCAGCGGGGAAAGGCTCTGGCAGCCGGGATGGGGAGATACTGAAGCCTTTCCCTGCTGCCTCGCTCCAGCCAGAGCCTCTCACTGGCATGTGTAAGTAGGGTTGTCAGCTATCCAGTTTTCTACCCGAACACCTGGTCGAAAAGGGACCCTTGTGCCTCCGCCCTGCTGACTGGGCTGTTAGAAGTCCAGGTGGTGGCACAGTGGGGCTAAGGCAGGCTCCCTGAAGCAGCGGCACTTCTCTCCTCCGACTCCTAGGCCTAGGGGCAGCCAGGGGGCTCGGCCTGCTGCCCCTGCCCCAACTGCCAGCTCCGCAGCTCCTATTGGCTGGGAACCGCAGCCAATGGGAGCTGCGAGGATGGCGCCTGCGGACAGGGCAGCATGCAGAGTCGCCTGGCTGCGCCTCCATGTAGGAGCCGGCAGGGGGACATGCCGCTGCTTCCGGGAGCTGCCTAAGATAAGCATCCGGAGCCTGCACCCTGACCCCCTCTGATGCCCCAACCCCCTGCCAGAGCCCTGATCCCCCACCCACCCTCCAAACCCCTCAATCTCATCTTGGAGCCCCCTCATATACCCCAAACCTTTCATTCTCAGCCCCACCCCAGAGCCTGTACCCCCAGCCAGAGCCCTCACACACTCCTGCACCTCAACCCCCGCCCCAGGCTGGAGCCTCCTCCTGCACTCTGAATCCCTCAGCCCCAGCATGGCACCCCCTCTTGCACCCCAAATCCCTCTTCACTGGCCCCACACCAGAGCCCGCATCCCCAGCTAGAGCCCTCACTCCCCTGCACCCCAACACCCTGCCCAGCCCAGAGCCCCCTCCCGCACCTTGAACCCCTCATTTCTGGCCCCAGCCCAGAGCCCCCTCCCATACTCCAAACCCATCAGCTCCACTCCCTAGACCAGAGCCCCCTCCCGTATCCTAAACCCTTCATCCCTGGCCCCATCCCGGAGCCCTCACCCCTCCCATATCCCAACTCACTGCCTCAGCCCGGAGCCCGCATCCCAGCCGGAGCCCTCCCCCTCCACACCCAAACCCCCTGAGCCAGCCTGGTGAAAATGAGGGAGGGAGGGAGGGAGGGTGAGAATGGAGTGAGCAGGGTGGGGCCTTGCAGAAGGGGCGGAACATGGGTGTTCCGTTTTGTGGGAATAGAAAGTTGGCAACCCTATGTGTAAGTTCCACCCTGGGGGGGGCTTTGGTGTGCTTTTCACTGCGGTGGAGCTCAATGTACATTACACGTTTCCGCGGTGCGCCATGGAGACATAGCCTCAGGGAGACATCAGACAGGTGGGCTGATCAGAGCTCCAAGGCTGAGGGCCAAGCGGCCTTAGCAAGGCACCGTGCTTACTCAGGGGCCAAGCAAATAGTTCCCCAGGCGAACTGCACACAACACTCTCCAAGTCCTGCTACCTCCAAGCACAGGCTACAGCTATGCCCTCTGAAATGCACATTGCAGCAAGCACTCAATACCTAGCTAGGGGTTGAGAGCACCCCCCCTCCCCAGCCCCAGCCATCCCTGAGGCCTGGCCTTTGTACAGTGCCAAGCACTTACCAGGACACGGACAGCTTTAGTTCCTCCTGCACCATCAAGCATTGATGCCTTCTGATTGTTCCCCAGCTGGCATTAAGTGCTCCTGTCAGCAGCTACTGGGGAAGGTACCCCGGCCCACTGCTAAGGGAAAGCCAAGGCTGGTACTCTACATCCCCGCCCCCCCATAGCTGGAGTCAAGTTGAAAGGGAGAGAGCTAGATGAGGAGCTCTGAGCACTTCTCAGGCCTGGTACAGGGCAGCCCAAGGTAGAGGCTGCTCTGGTCAGCCCAGGGACGTTGTCTCAGCCACATGGGCGGGCTCAGAGCTGACGTGGCTTGCAGTTGTTAACCCCTTGTGCAGATGGAATCCCAAGTGTTCCAAGCCATGTGGTGCACTGAGTCAAGGTGAGATTTGGCCCAAGAGCAGCATGGAGGAGGCCCGTAGTTCCCTGCCCTTGGAGACTGGCCTAGAAGCAGGAGACCCAGCCGCTATTCCAGCTCCATGGCTAGGAGGCACCTGCCCACGCCCCGATGACTCTGCTAGCTTGTGGAGGTACCTGGTGGTCCTTGCCAACCCCCTCACCTTCATTAAAAAGGTACCAGAGCCACAGGTCTGAGGGCCAAGGAGAGTTTATTTTGTTAACAGCTCGGCAAGTTGGGAGCCAGGTGCCCAGTGCTGCCAGGCCCAAGGACCTTGAGTTAGGCCTGAAGCCTGCCTTTCCCACACACCTGCAAGGAAAGAGACAGATTAAAAGTGGGGCTGCAGCGCCTGCATGGGAGGAAGCAGCACAGTGATGGGCACTACCAGGCTGGTGGGGTCCATGGGACCCAATCTCAGGGCTTTGCCATCTGCACTCTGCAGCGGGTTACTGAGCGCCTGGTGAAGGTGAGGCCGTGACATGGGGCTAGCTTTATGAGTGCACCTTGGAGCCCAGAATGGGAGACTTAGCACCCCTGCCCAGCAGGACCCATGCCCCAGAGGATGCTGGGAGCCCAGCCAATGTGTGTCACTCCTGACTCCTTGCAGTCAGGGAGCTGGTAGTCGTGGTGAGGGGGCGGAGCACGTGAAGAGTTCCAGTGCAGGGAGAAGGAAGTGGCCGGCTCTAGGGCTGGGCTAGGAGACTGGCCAGTCAACCTGCCCACACCCTGGCTGGCCTTCCCTGCTGCCACGCAGATCCAAGGGGCTGGGCTTCAGCTGCTCTCCTCCTGAGGCTTACAAGGCAAACACCAGGGCATGGATCAATGCAACCCTCTGTGCGCCTAACTCTCCAGGAGTCCTGCCTGAACAGGGCAGAGCCCCGGGGGGCTCTGGAAGTGTCTACACTGCAGCTGGGAGCGAGCCGCCCAGCCTGAGCAGAGACTTGTGCTAGATCCACTCACGCTAGTGTGCTAAAAATAGCTGTGTGGCCATTGCAGCTTGGACAAGAGCTCCGCTCATGTCACCCAACCCACCGGCTCTGAGCTCGGGGGCTAGTCTCTGCTGGAGCTGCAATGGCCACACAGCGATTTTCTATCATGCTAGCTCGCTCCCAGCTGCAGTGCAGCACAGGCAGACATACCCTGACCCACATGTCCCCGGCTCCCTGGGCTGGGAGCTCCCTTCCCAGGCCACAGAGGGGTCTGGGCACCAAGGAAGGCCTGCCCATTGGGTGGGCGGATCCCAGCAAGTGCCCGGGGCCTGGAGATCACTTACCTCAACCCACAGGTCGGTGGGGCACTGATACCACTTCCTTCCCCAGCTGCTGCTGGGCTGAGACCCAGAGCGTCTCTGTCAAGGGGTAGCGGCAGCGCAGAGTCAGCCTGCAGAGGAAGACGCTGGCTTAGCCAGGTGGGTGGGAACTTTGGAGCTCTCAAGCCAGTTGCCACTGGCTGCAGGGACACCCCTCCCAGCCCCAGAGCTGGCCCTCACCTGTACCATGAGTCCCGGGTGATGATAGGGGATGTGGCTGGGACCCCCTCAGGCACAAAGGTCACCTCATTCTCATACACCAGGTAGCCTCCTTCAAACTGTGCAGGGGAGACTGAGAGTCAGAGGGCAGACAGCAGCGAGGGAGGCTGGGATTCCTTGGACTTTCCCCCACCCCTGGGAGCTCAGCACCCAAATCCTAGTGAAATCCAGCCCGCTAGACATGCCAGCCCCATGAAGTCACAGCTTTTGGTGCGCTCCCAGGTCTGCGCACCCCCTTTGCATTAGGGGTGCACACATCTCCCTGGGTGATGGGGCTTGGCTCAGCTAAAACACAGGGACTGAGGCGAGCAAATCCAGCCATCTGGGCTGGCCTCTAGCTTTCTTGGGGCTGGAGCGGGGGCCTGTACCCCAAATGGCTTGCTTTACCCAGCCTGCACCACCACCCTGCTGCCACCCCATGGCAAAGCCCTGCCACCATCCCAGCGGGCCCAGCATCAGACCATGGCTAAGCGAGAGCTGCAGAGCCCTACAGCATTAGACCCACCCTCCTGTCACCAGATGCTCCTCCCCAGTCTCAGCTACCAGCTGCCAGCCTGCCCCACCCCTGAGGGGAAAATATGTGCCATGGAAGGCTCACCTGCCGTGTGGTCCCACAGGAGGCCAGCGAGAAGGAGAAGAGGGCCCGCGAGGAATCGGAGGCCACTGGCCCACAGCCTGGATCCCTCAGGTGGGTCCGGCGTGGGTCAAGGGCAGGCTTGGTGTCCAGGCTCAGCACCGTGGCCACCAAGGTGCCATTGGGCAGGCACACTGTGCCCAGGAAGGGGGGAAAGAAAGAGTCAGGATCAGGCCTAGAGACCCCACCATCACCCCTCATTCACCCAGCAGGAGCTACTGGGTCAGCATGAGGCTCTCAGACCCCTCTGCTGCCCCGCAAATCCCATGCATGGTGTGGTTGGCGCAGGAGGGGTCTGTGCCCTGTGGCTGGTGTGGATAATCCCAGATGGGGTAGCCATTCCCCATGGGGTGGGGCTGGGTGCAAGACTGGGGTCAGGATGTGTGGCCGATGGCTGCAGAGGAGGTGGGTTAAGGAATTTCAGCCCACTGGCTGAGCCAGATCTAGAGGGAAAGGGATCCCTGTGCCACTGATCACTTTACTCCAGTGGAATCTAAGGCCCAAAGGCACCCCCTAGGCACCCCCTACCCACCCCCACGGGGGACATCCCGTGCTCCTGGCAGGGGGTCTCCATCCAGGCACTCACCCAACAACTGCCCAGTGGGGAAGGTGCAGACAACGGTGAAGGAAGCCAGGACTGAGCGAGTCTTGTTGTCCCGCAAAGAGAAATCCAGCCGAGCCGTCAGCCTTTGGAGGGAGATGCTCTGGGGGTGTGATAGTGTGTGAGAGTGACTCGGGGGCCGAGCAGCAGCCCTGGCACCAGCCAGGAACCCTCCCTGCCAGGTCCCAGCAGAGCCCAGGCTTGGGAGAGGTCAGGCATCACTAGTGCTTGGGCTGGCTCCTGCCCCCATGCGTCCTGAGAGCAGGAGGGGCAGGGGCTACCCACCAGGCCTTGCTGGGGAAGATACGAGGCAGGCTGGGACCAAGGAGGCAGCCAGCCAGACCAGTCCGGAACTCCAGCAAGATCTAGATCAGTGGGTTAGCCCAGTCCCCAGGGTGCCAGGCCCCCTACCCATTCTGTGGGGCACCAACCCCTTCACCCCTATTCTCGGAGGAACCATGCTGTAGGCAGAAACTGGCTGCTTTGTGGGACTTGGAGTCACTTCCCATTCAGAGGCAACGAGTTTGCATGTTGGATTTTGCCCATCCTCCATGGCATAGTGGGGCAGGGGCAGGTGTCACTTCATGCAGCCCTCGATGCAGGGGGCAGAAGGGTTCAAAGGCAGGTGCTAAGTGACCAAGGAGAGCTGGTGAGTGGGAGTTTCAGAGGGAGAAAGAATACAGCTATGATTCAGAAAGGCCACATCACCAATGCCAACACTGCTCCTGGCTCCTCCACATGCACCTGCGTCCAGACAGAGAACCCAACTATGGGTGCCACTACCTGGGCCTTGGGGTGGATTTGCAGAGACTGTGGCCTGTCATCGAAAGCCAGGCTGGGGAGACCAGCCAGTGTGAGAGATGCCTTCTCGTAGAAAGTCTCGGGATACTGGTGAGAGAGCTACAGGAGTAGGTGGCTAGGCTGAGAAGCATCCGTGAACACAAAGAATTCCTTGAAAACTTGCATATGGAGATCTCCAAGGCTGAGGAACCAATCCAGCTGGAGAGGACTGCAGTAGCACCCACCAGGGCAGGAGGAAACGGCTCCTTCACAGGGAGAAATCTGTCTGCTAGTTACTTCTAGCAGCAGGCAGTGCTCCACTCTGGCTCCCAACCCCCAGCCATAGAGATGACAAACCAGTATTCTGCCCTGGCAATAAAGGATGAGGAATCCCCCGCAAAGGTGATGGAGGCCAAGGCTGCAAGGATCACAGCCACCACTCCCAAGAGTGGGTGGTGATCACAGCCACCACTCTCGAAGGGTGGTGATGGTCGATGATTGCTTTCTAAGGGGAACAGAGGCATCCATCCGCTGGCCTGACCTGGCATCCTGGGAGGTGTGCTGCCTGCCAGGGGCCCGTACCTGAGATGTTACAGAGGGATTGCCAAGGATCATCCGACCCTCTGACTATTACCCCATGCTGCTCATACATGTGGGCACTAACAATACTGCCAGGTCTGACCCAGAGCAGATGCAGAGTGATTACAGGGAGGGAAGGTGAAGGACTTTGGGGCGCAGGTGGTGTTCTCATCTATCCTTCTGGTCAAGGGCAGGGGCCTGGGCAGAGATAGACACGTTCTGGAGTAAACAGGGGCCTGGGCAGAGATAGACACGTTCTGGAGTAAACAGGGGCCTGGGCAGAGATAGACACGTTCTGGAGTAAACACTTGGCTCAGCGGATGGTATCACCAGGAAGGCTTCGGCTTCCTCAAGCATGGGATCCTGATCGGAGAAGGACTGCAGAGCCCAGATAGGATCCACCTATCCAGGAAGGGGAAGAGTATCTTCGGATACAGACTGGCTAACCTGGTAGATGGGCTTTAAACTAGATTCAACATGGGTAGGAGACAAAAGCCCATGGGTTAGTCCAAACACGGAGCTGTGGATGAAGGGTTGGAATCTGGGGGAAACATGGACAATCATAGAGGGGCAAAGGACAGACAAGAAGGGATATTGAGGGGAAATCTAATGAACACCTGAAATATCTGTATCCTAATGCAAGAAGTATGGAGAATAAACTGGAAGAACTAGAAATACTAGTGAATACTCACTATTACGACATAACGGGCATCAGAGACTTGATGGGATAATTCCCATGACTGGAATGCTGGTATAGAAGGGTACAGCTTGTTCAGGAAGGACAGGCAGAGAAAAGGGGGAGGAGGTGTTGCCTTGTATATCCAAGATGTATATGTTTGCACTGAGGTTGAGATAGAAGTGGGAGGCAGACCTGTTAAGTGTCTGGGTAAGGATCAAAGTGGTAAAAAACAAGAGTGATGTCTTGGTAGGGATCTACAACAGACCACCAAACCAGGAAGAAGAGGTGGCTGAGGGTTTTTTTTTAAATAACTAACAAAGCATCCAAAGCACAGGACTTGGTGGTGATGGGGGACTTCAGCTACCCAGACACCTGTTGGGAAAATAACACAGCAAAGCACAGATTATCCAATTTTTTGGAATGCAAGGGATACAACTTTTTATTATAGAAAGTGGAGGAAGCAACTATTCTAGATTTGATTCTGACAAGGTTGAGAATTTGAAAGTGGAAGGCAGCTTGGGTGAAACGGATCATGAAATGACAGAGTTCATGATTCTAAGGAATGGTAGAAGAGAAAACAGCAGAATAAAGACAATGGACTTCAAGAAGGCAGACTTCAGCAAATTCAGAGAAGTGACAGGTAAAATCCCATGGGAAGCAAGTCCAAGTCTAAGAGTTCAGGAGAGTTGGCAGGTTTTTAAAGAGACATTTTTAAGACCACAAGAATGTGGGAAAGATAGGAAATATGGTAAGAGACCACCCTGGCTTAACCAGGAGATCTTCAGTGACATGAAACTCACAAAAGAGTCACACAAGAACTGGATACTAGGTCAAATTACAAAGGATGAATATAAAGAACATTATAAGCATGTTGAGACAAAATCAGAAAGTTTAATCTCAAATTTTCCCTTGACCTAACTAATGATATAAATGGTAACAAGAAAGCATTTTACAAATAAATGGGAAGCAAGAGGAAGAACAAGGACAGGGTAGGCCCATTACTCAATGAGGAGGGAAAGACAGTAACAGAAAATGCAGCAATGGCTAAAGTTTTCACCAAAAAGGTTACCAGTGATCAGACAACTAACATAGTAAACATCAGTGTAAATGGGGTAGGGTCTGAGGCTAAAAGAGGAAAAGAACAAATGAGAATATCTTCAAGTCAGGAGGGCTTGATGAGACACCTCCTAGAATATTTAAGGAACTGGCTGAAGAGATCTCTGAGCAAATATCGATTATCTTGGAGGATGGGAGAGATAGTTGAGGGCTGGAAAAGAGTAAATATAGTACCTAGCTATAAAATGGGAAACAAGGACAACCCAGGGATTACAGACCAGTCAGCTTAATTTCTGCATCTGGAAAGATAATGGAGCAAATAATCAAACATTCTATTTGTAAGCACCTAGAAGATAGGAACAGTCAACATGGAATTGTCAAGAACAAATCATGTTGAACCAACCTAATGTCCTTCTTTGATAGGGTTACAAGGCTTGTGGACGGGGGAAGCAGTAGCAGAGCTTTGGATACTGTCTCACATGGCCCTCTCATAGACAAAGAAGAGAAATATAGCCTAGATGAGCCTACTATAAGGTGGGTGCATAACTGGTTGGAAAACCATTCTCAGAGTAGTTATCAGTGGTTCACAGTCATGCTGGAAGGGCATAACGAGTGGGTCCTGCAGGGATCAGTTCTGGGTCTGGTTCTGTTCACTATCTTCATCAGTGATTTAGATAATGGCATACAGAGTACACTTACAAAGTCTGCGGATGATACAAAGCTGGGAGGGTTGCAAGTGCTTTGGAGGATAGGATTAAAATTCAAAATGATCTGGACAAACTGGAGAAATGGTCTGAAGTAAATAGGATGAAATTCATTAAGGACAAATGCAAAGTATTCCACTTAGGAAGGAACAATCAGTTGCACACATACAAAATGGGAAATGACTGCCTAGGAAGGAGTACTGAGGAAAGGGATCTGGGGGTCATAGTGGATCACAAATTAAATATGGGTCAACAATGTAATACAGTTTCAAAAAAAGCGAACATCATTCTGGGATGAATTAGCAGAAGTATTGTAAGCAAGATACCACAAGTAATTCTTCTGCTCTACTCCATGCTGATACAGTCTCAACTGGAGTATTGTGTCCAGTTCTGGGCACCACATTTAGGAAAGATGTGGGCAAATTGGAGAAAGTCCAGAAAAGAGCAACAGAAATGACTAAAGGTCTTGAAAACATGACCTATGAGGGAAGATTGAAAAAACTGCATTTGTTTAGCCTGGAAAAGAGAAGACTGAGCGGGGACATAAGTGTCTTCAAGTACCTAAAAAGTTGTTACAAGGAGGAGGGTGATAAATTTTTCTCCTTGACCACTGAGGAGCAGACAAGACGCAATGGGCTTAAATTGCAGCAAAGGAGATTTAAGTTGGACATTAGGAAAAACTTCCTAACTGTCAGGGTGGTTAAGCACTGGAATAAATTACCCAGGGAGGTTGTGGAAACTGGGTTTTTTTAAGAGCAGGTTAGACAAACACCTATCAGGGATGGTCTCAATAATACTTGGTTCTGTCTCAGTGCAGGAGACTGGTCTAGTGACCTATCGACGTCCCTTCCAGTCCTACATTTCTATGATTCTATGCTCAGGGCACATCAGGAAACCCAAATCCCAGAGAAGATGAGCCAGAGAATCTCTTTATTGCTACAGCGAAGCTCTCGAGAGACAACAGGCTGCGCTGGGTGGCATGAACCGCAACAGTCATCCTTTTCTCATGTGGTTCCACTCAGAAGCGGCGCTGGGGTTTTTGGCGCCCTAGGTGGGGGTCCTTCTGTGCTCCCGGTCGTCGTCGGCAATTCTGCAGCGGGGGGTGGGGGGGCGTGGTCCTTCTGCGCTCCCGGTCTTCGGGGCACTTCGGCGGCAGGTCCCGGAGCGAGTGAAGGACCCGCCGCAGAATTGCCACCGAAGACCCGGAGCGTGGAAGGACCCCCCGCCGCCGAATTGCTGCTGAGGGTGGCAAAATGCCGCCTCCCCAAATCCTGGCACCCTAGGTGACCACCTAGGTCGCCTAAATGGAAGCGCTGGCCCTGGTTCCACTGAGCAGTTGAAGCCAGTTCCCTCTCCCGGCTACAAATGGGACTGGGAATAATTTGTCAGAAGTGACAGTTTGTGGGAAAATCTGGAATGACGTTTCCCAAACATTAAAAAAAATGTGAATGTTCCTGAACCAGCCCAAGTGTTTTGGTGTTTGTGATTGGTCTGGGTTAGAAATGAGGGGGCTTCACCCATTTTTTTACTGCTTCTCCAAGGCAGCAAGCGTTCGGGGTGAGAAAGTCTTTGCCCAGGTTTTGCCCTGAGTTCCCAGCTGAAAGACTGTGTCCAGAGGAGACTGTCTGGAGCTGGGGTGTCCAGGCCATAGGAAATTTCAACAGTTTGAAAATTTCTCACAAAATGAAAGTTCCAAAAAAGTTTCACGCCAGGAAAAATGGGTCATTTTGAATTCTAGAAAACGCTGCTGTTCCATTCCCAGGATGGAGAAGTCAGGAGGAAATGACTGGCTTCAATTTTTCCTGGCCAAATTCCTGAGGAACAGCTCCATCCCAGGGCAGCTGAGTTTGCTGACTGAAAGCTCGCCCATTGCAGTCTGAGCATCTCTTGTGTTCAGAGAGCGACGGGGACACATGGATGTCCCTGGTTAAGAGTAGGTGGCAGGCAGCCATTTTTCTTGCTCCCTCCCAGGAGAACTGCAACCCCCACCAGAATATTTTCCATTCTCCTTCCCCACTGCTCTTGCCCCTCCCCACCCCCCAGCTCCCCCACCTACCTCATACGCCAGCCCAGCAGCCAGAAGGGGGACAGCCAGGTGGAAATGGCGACCATCATCAGACACTCTGTAGCTGTGGGGGGCAGCCAGCTGGCTCAGGGGCTGCTCCCCAACATAGGGAACCCAGAACCGGTCCAGTGTCCCGTGGGTCATCAGCAGGGCCAGCGCCCCAGCCTCACAGGAGCCCTGGAAGCTGGGGGGCACTAACAGGAGCAGAAGGGGTTAAATATGGGTCCAGTCACTCTGAGCACCCCAGAGTCAAGGGCTCAGCCAGGCCCTGCACTGGGATGTGGGAAGCTGCAGGCCACAGCCAGGAGGGATAGGGGCATTGAGCCAGTGACCCTGAGAGCCACAGGACCCCCCCACACACATACCTGCCACTCATGCCAACCCCACCCGTGCCCCTGACCTCCATGTTTCCCCCCACTCACACCAATCCCAGACCCTGCTTGTCCATGCCACCTCGCTGCACTCACAGCACCCCAGCCCATGCCCACACAGCTACCCACTGCCCCACCCACGACCTCCAAGCCCTATCCACACAACTACGCACTGCCCCTCCCACCACCCACAGCCTGTATCCACATAGCTAACCCACTGTCCCTCCCACCACCCACAGCCCATGCCCACACAGCTACCCACTGCCCCCACCCCACCTTCTGCCAACATAGCTACCCACTGCCCCCACCACCACCCCTAAGCCCTATCCACACAGCTAACCCACTGCCCCTCTCACCACCCACAGCCTGTACCCACACAGGTAACCCACTGCCCCTCACACCACCCACAGCCTGTCCCCACACAGCTAAGCCACTGCCCCTCACACCAGCCCATGCCCACACAGCTACCCACTGCCCCTCACACCACCCCCAGCCCGTGCCTACACAGCTACCCGCTGCCCCTCACACCACCCCCAGCCCCTCGACCAGCCAGGCCCTCCCCCAACTCACCCACATCTGGGACATCACAAGTGATGAGCCCTGCCTGGGTGAAGGCCTCGCCTGTGGGCAGCAGCCGCAGGGTGTAGTTGAGGCGCAGAGTGTAGCGCCTGAGGGGGCCGTGTAGGTACTGCCGGGAGGACAGGCAGGGTCAGAGTGGGGCTGAGGAGCTATACAACCCTCCCCTCCCCTCAGCTCTCCCGCAGGCAGCCTAGTGCAGCCCTCACACCATGGGGGACTAAGTGAAGTGGGCCTCCCCAGGGCACCTTCGCGCTACGCATCCTGATGGCTATAGGCCCAGCCCTAGTCTGGGACCCTCCTCTTCCGCCGCCCTCCATGCCAGCCTCCACCCCCAAGCCAGCTGCTGCATGGGCAGGGCAGCCCCCGAGGACGAGGGCAAGGGAGTGCCCTGGGGCTCTGACAGCAGCTTATCCCTCCCTCCATGTACACAGGAGCCCACTGCCCTGGCCCCCCATGCCACCTCCTCACCACCCCATCCCCCACCACCGTTACCTGCTGCTGCACCAGGGGGTCAGCAAAGGGCACCCTCAGCCCAAAGGCCCTGGTGTCGTTGGGGTTGGGGGCCTCGTGGGGGTCAAAGCCACGGTCCTCGGCCTCGGGGCGGCTGAAGGGACGTCCGCCCACCGAGACAGAGACCAGCTCCACATCGGGCAGGAAGTGCCCCAGGCGCACCTTGAAGTAGCCCTGCGCTGCCACGGTGTCTGGGGGAGGAAACGGGGGTGCACTGGGCGGTGGGGTTCACTGGAGCACTCCCCCAGGCAGCCAGTGCCCTAGCCCAATGGCCATGACCCCAGGCTGGCAACCCCATGCCCAGGGCAATGAGCCCAGCTGAGACCAGCAGCGGCTCATCTTGACATTGCCCGATGAGCATGTGGGAATTTTTGTAATAGTTTTATGAAAACTCTGCATGCCTCAGTTTCCCCATTCACTCTGCATTGCTGCCCGGGAGGGCGGGAGCTAATTGCTCCTTTGGGCCAGGGGCTGGAGTCATGTGGGCAGCAGGTAGGCGTGGCTAGCTTTGTCATGGAGAGCCAGTAGCCCAGGGCTGCATGGAGCCAAGGGACCGGCAGCGTAAAGAACTCAGCTGCCCCCAGCGCGTCAGACAGAACAAGGGGCCTGGGGAAGCAGGGCAGGGAGGGTTGACCACATGGGCTTTGCTTTCCCAGACTAAGCCAGGCTCTCTCAGCACTGCATTCCAGGGGCCCAAAAAACACTGCCTGCCAAAGGCTGCCTGTGTCCCTGCGCCTGTCCGGCTCTGAACGGCACTTTGCACTCGCTGGAGAGCCAGTGCATGGAACAGCAGCGCTGTAGCCAGACGGCCTGGCGCAGAGTATCAGAGCCAGAGACTCGCTCAGCCTACGACCCAACGTGGTCAAGGGGCCACACCACAGGCCCAGTCTAAAGGCTGTAATCCCTGTGCAAAGATGGGACTTTTCCCCCTCACACAAAGCACCCTTGGTGGCAGGGGTCTGACGCAGGGTCAGTGGGGGCGGGTGGGGAGAGGAAGCCGAGACAGGGAGTCTGGAGCCAAGCTCTCCCCAGAGCTGGGGGCTGACGGGTCTCACGAGGGACATTTAACCCCCCCATTTTAGACTAAAGTCAACCTCTAGGGCTCCCTCCCCTGCCCCCTGTAGGCTACAAAGGAGCCATCTCCATGACCGCTCCCCCCCCCGGCCCCGCCCAGGCCCCTCCAGCTCAGATGCCAATGGTCACTCTGCACTCAGCAGCATGGTGGGGGGGTGGGGGAGGGAGCAAAACCCAATGGGGGATTTTGACCTTTGGGTGGTTAGAGGAGCTGAATCCAAAGGATTCAAAACCAGGCAGGGTCGGGTCAGTTTCCTCTGCCCAGAGAAGTGACAAGCGTTCCCCCACCCATCTCCCACCAAACCAGCCCCCAGACCCAGTTCCTGCGTGGCAGCTCTGTCTGCCGGAGAAGGGGCTGGGAAGGGCGGTGGGGGCGGGCGGGGAAGGACGTTCGAGGCTCTTGTGGAAGGGGACTTCCTTTAAAGCTGGCAGCTCGAAGGGGCCTGGGGACTCTTGCCAGGTGGAGTGAGGAGCCCCCCATGCCAGGAGCTAGGAGACACTTCTGCTGCAGAGGGGGCACAGTGATCTGGGCGGGAGGCAGAGGCCCAGGCCATCAGAGAGGCAGAGCTCCTGTAGGACCCCGATCTCCAGAACTTGGCCTGAGCGCCCCTTTCCCATGGAGCTGGGTATGTGTGCAGTAGGGCTCGGCCAGGCCACAGGGATCCTGGGGGCTGCACCTACCATCGATGATCTGGGGCGTCTGTGGGGAGAAGGGGGTGTGGATAGGACGGTAGCTGCGGTGACGGGTCCGGTCACTTTCATCCCCTTGCCAGTGCCGGTCCAGCAGCAGGTGGATGCTGTACCTGGTGCCATAGCGATTACCCACCAGGGCGCTCTGTGGGGAGGAGGGGGAGCAGTGACAGCCCCTATGGGGAGACCCCTGACTCCCTCCTAAGAGGAGAGAGCTCCACCGTGTGACAGCCAGGACCAGCTCTTCCATTGACACCCCCCCCCACACACACACACACACTCTCCGACCTGCAGCCCCGTGGGGTGAGGGGATGGACCAGGGAGGGGGCCAGAGCTCAGTTGCTCCAAGTTCTCAGGAGCTTTGGGGAGCCAGGGGTGCTGGGAGAAGCTGCTGCAGGGAGCAGGAGGCTGACAGCATCTCACAGACTGGGCGGCAGCAGCAACAGTTAATGGGAACAGGTCTCGGACTGGAGATCCAGGCCAGCATCCCACCCCAGGCCATGCTGTGACTCCTGCCGTCTATCACGGCTCAGGGAGGGGCATGGGGGTCTAGTGGGTCACAGCAGGAGGGGCTGGGAGCCAGGACTCCTGGGTTCTCGCCCTGTCTCTGCCACTGCCCTGCTGAGTGACCGAGGGGCCTCACTTTCCCCCTTTGTCTAGCCAGGCTGTGAGTTCTTTGGAACAGGGACCCTTGTGCCAGGGGAGCAAGACACATCAGTCACAGGGGTCTCGGCACAGGGCCCAGCCCAGCGGCTGTGCTGCCTCATGCCTGGGCACCTGGGCACTGACCTGCAGCAGCCCCCCGGGGGCACCAATGGGCACCACGATGCGGATGAGCCCGGAGTCTGTCAGGAAGGTGTAGCCATTGCGTGTGACAGTGCCCGCGTCAATCACACGACCATCCAGGCCCATCTGGACCTCATCTTGGTACTGCTCTGGCCACAGCACCAGGGATGGCAGGATCCGCGGCATCACCCAGCTCAGGCTCGTAGCATTGACCACCGGGGAATCTAGGGACAGGAGGCCATGAGCCCCACCTACTGGTCCCCTGAGATCTACCCCAGCTCTGCCAGTGCCCCTCACTACCGACCCACAGCCCCCGATACCAAACCCTGGGCTCCCTCCCTCCAACTCTGCCAGTGCTCCTCACTCCCGCCCCACAGCCCCTGCTAGCCCAGCCCTGGGCTCCCTCCAGGACTCACTGACAGGGCAGGCCACAGCTGTGTCCACCATGAGGATCATCCAAGCCTGTTTGTAGAACACTGTCGCCCTGGCCACTTCCACCTCCAGCCCCTCCACCTGTGGAGAGTGGGTCAGTGGAGGGGCACAGAGAAGGGTTCCATGGCTTCATCAGAGTTCCTCCCCCCATTCTCCCTCCCCAGGCAGCCCAGGAGTCTGACCCCTGGTGTGACCAGATTTGACTGGTCCCTGGCAGTAACCCAGGGGCACCTTGGCATGGACCAGTGCTGAGTCAGCACCTGACTGGGCTGGGCATGAGCCTACCGTGCAGCCAGAGGCTACATGGTGCCTGCAAGAGCCAGGCTCCCAGAGACTCCTGATAGCAGCCTTGCCCCCCATCCAGCCAGCCTCCCCACTGTGCACCAAGCTCCCACACACCCCACTGGGCCCACAGTGCCCCCCAGCCTCCCCCCCGAGTGCACCAAGCTCCCACACACCCCACTGGGCCCACAGTGCCCCCCAGCCT